GGAGGGACGGAAAAGGGAGGGGTGGAATAGGGTGGAATGGAATAGGGGAGGGGCGGAATAGGGAGGGGTGGAATAGGGTGGAATGGAATAGGGGAGGGATGGAATATGGAGGGGTGGAATAGGGGCGGGTAGATTAGGGGAGGGGTGGAATAGGGGCGGGTGGAATAGGGTGGGATGGAATAGGGAGAGATGGAATAGGGAGAGATGGAATAGGGGAGGGGTGGTATAGGAAGGGGTGGTAATAGGGAGGGGCGGAATAGGGAGAGATGGAATAGGGGAGGGGCGGAATATTGAGTGGTGGAACATCCATAAAGGAAAGGAAGCCAAACTCTTCTTTGATGGGGAGGGGTGGAATATTGAGGGGTAAAATATTGAGGGGGTGGAATAGGGGAGGGGTGGAATAGGGGCGGGGTGGAATAGGGAGGGATGGAATAGGGAGGGGTGGAATAGAGGAGGGGTAGAATAGGGAGGGATGGAATAGGGAGGGTTCAATAGGCTGGCATGGAATAGGTGAGGGTTGTAATAGGAACTGGTGGAATAGGAAGGGTGGAATAGGGAGGGATGGAATGGGGAGGGGTTTAAAAGGCGGCGGATGGAATAGGAGGCTGGTGGAATAGGGGCGCGATGGAATAGGGAGGGTTGGAATAGGGAGGGGTGGAATAGGGAGGGTGGAATAGGGAGGGGTGGAATAGGGAGGGATGGAATAGGGAACGGGGTGGAATAGAGGAGGGGTGGAATAGGGAGGGATGGAATAGGGAGGGTTTAATAGGCTGGGATGGAATAGGTGAGGGGTGTAATAGGGACTGGTGGAATAGGAAGGGTGGAATAGGGAGGGATGGAATGGGGAGGGGTTTTATAGGCGGCGGATGGAATAGGAGGCTGGTGGAATAGGGGCGCGATGGAATAGGGAGGGTTGGAATAGGGAGGGGTGGAATAGGGAGGGTGGAATAGGGAGGGATGGAATAGGGAGGGGTGGAATAAGGTGGGATGGAATAGGGAAGGATGGAATAGGGAGGGATGTAATAGGAATGGGTGGAATAGGGAAGGATGGAATAGGGGAGGGACGGAAAAGGGAGGGGTGGAATAGGGTGGAATGGAATAGGGGAGGGGCGGAAAAGGGAGGGTGGAATAGGGTGGAATGGAATAGGGGAGGGATGGAATATGGAGGGGTGGAATAGGGGCGGGTGGATTAGGGAAGGAGTGGAATAGGGGTGGGTGGAATAGGGTGGGATGGAATAGGGAGAGATGGAATAGGGAGAGATGGAATAGGGGAGGGGTGGTATAGGAAGGGGTGGTAATAGGGAGGGGCGGAATAGGGAGAGATGGAATAGGGGAGGGGCGGAATATTGAGGGGTGGAATAGGGGAGGGGTGGAATAGGGAGAGATGGAATAGGGGAGTGGTGGAATAGGAAGGGATGGAATAGGGAGGGGCGGAATAGGGATGGGATTGCATAGGGAGGAGTCGAATAGGGGCGGGGTGGAATAATTTTCAGTCATCAGTTATCAACAATGGTGATGATTATCTTTTCTCCATGTTCATGAAGCTGGAAATAGCGACGGGCCATGCTAACAACTGAGTTAGCTTTCGTCCCTCTGCCAGAGGTTTTGTTCTCGTCAACCAAATAGAAAAGTTGTTTTCCTATCAAATAAAAAATAATGGGCTGTAGAAAGTAAGAAGACATTTATCATGAACGACAAGTGAAACAAATATCAGACTCTATAACAATCTTTTAAAAATGTATCATACTATTACTGATTGCTTCATAACATATATAATTAATTCATTAAAATTAATATGATGTTAAATTGACCAGTGAGTGTTTTGTAAATTTCTAAGAATTCTAAGAAACATTTATTACGATAATTATTTATAACTGTAAATGTCAATATAGAACTATGTTATATACTCGGCCATGATTTATCTGCTTCAGTCTGTCAAAATCATTATTTTACCGTCTGAGCAGATTCCGAATACACTTATAAAGACAGGACCAACTTCCTGAGCATGATGGGAAACGCAACTTGCTGTGCAAATTCTCAGAAGCAATGGAAGGAGACATACAAGGAAATGAAGACTATGTTATTAGTGTTAAACCTATCATAACATAGCTGACTGATAGACCCCAGGTACTTGCACGTTTCTAAACAAATCTATTCAATCGAATTAACAAATATACATATTGTGTTCCTTAATTAGTCTTTTCCTAATTAATGAACAATGTATTTAGAATAATAAAATAACTTCCAATATGATTAATCTTTTATTTTTCCATCGATGTCAACATCAATTGAGCTACCTCTCGCATGATTAACACAGACCACTAAAATAAAAAGGGAAATATATATCATTTGAAGTTGGTTCCGGTTATTGCGGTCCGGACTTTAGTTTTACCCGTTTTCGTCTGTTAGTTTGTCAGAAAGTTTACACGACTTATGCAATGGCCTACTCTGGTCAAAAGAAAATATAGGTCCTCCAAAGGGTAGGTTTATTCCCCGTCCATGATAATTACTATTGTTGTACACTTATTATATTGTTGTCAATGTCATTCAGTTAGGAAACACGATTTGTATTTGTTTATTATGTCCTACATAGAGTCGTCTGCCTGTTATCAGTGAACCACGTGGTCTGTGCCTCATAGTACTGTTTAGGTTTTGTGTGTGTGTCAGTATCATTTCGTATATTAGCTTACTCATGTCCAAAGTGTATATTGTACTCATTGACCTTACATAAGTAAGGTCTGATAGATTTACGTTATATTCTAGTCAAATTGTGATATGCCAATTCGGCCTAGTGTTTACTTCCGGTCATTTTTGTATGAATGATCAAAGTACTGAAAGCACCGTGAGAAGGATACTGACGATTAGGTATGTTAGGTATAATGGTGTTTATAGTCACATGTGTACATCTGTAGCATACTCTGATAGTGGTTTTGTATTTCTTATGTTGTAGTCTTTTACCTACCTCCGGAGAGTTTGTGTAATAAACTCATTAAACATCACATCCAGCAATTGGTAAACTCTGGCTGAAGACATTGTTAAATTAGTTACCCGTTATATTCCTTTCTCCTGACAACGGGCTGAACTTTCCTTCGCTTTCTGTGCATGGCTGACTGTATAGATATCTCTGTTGTTCTCAGACTTGTTGGCGTGGTTACTGTTCTCCTCAAATATGTCTTTCTTCTAATTATTGTACTTCACGCGAGACATAAATACAAAGGTTCACCACAACATGATACCTTGTTGGATGCTAATAAATTCTGTATGGAGACAGCGGGGCGATATTAAGAAAATGTTTGGAGATAAAACAAAAACAAAAATGAAACCAGACAAATAAAAGTTAATATTATTGTAAGTTACCAAAGTTTATTCGAATGTAATCGATAGAAACCGAGAGATTTCCGTACAAAACATTACCAGAGCAACAAATGGCTGACACTCTCGTAAATAAAGTGAAATCTAACTTCCAGATACTTCGACATATGTAACCTTGCAAAGGGTCAAGTTCATTTCTTTTCTCAAACGTTTTCGGTATTCATTCTAGGAACATATCAGCCAAATACCTCGCTTCTGCACCGTTTGGTTTGTCAGAAGATGTTGTTTAAAGATTTTAACTCATTTGACCCCTGTTTCCTTGAATAAGGGTAAAGATAATATTTTCCGAGAATGTTGTTTGGCTTTCTCCTAGAAACCTAGTAGCTTAACACCATGCCTCTTCACGTTGGATTAGCAAGGAGAAGTTGCTTAAATGTTTTAACAGATTTGACCCCTGTGACTTTGAATAATCATTTCTTTTCGCAAGATTTGTTTGGTGTTCCACCAGCCAAACACCACGTCATTAGATTTGCTGGTTATTGAGAAGAAGTCCATAAAGTCAGTTGACCTAAATTATATTTATGCCATCATAGTGATTAAATTTACCCAATTTGTTAAAAAAAACTAGGGTGGGTATATCTTCTGAACAGAATAATTATAACAATAACAATAAAAACGGATGACATTACTAATGTACAAGTGAATATCACATTCCAATACAAAACAATAGAATAAGATTCAGTAGGGATAAACTATGAATTCCATAAAACATCCCTTCATTGTTGTTACAAGGGTATACAAATGAAAAAAGAATGTGCTTAAATTAGGGTGCAGTGAAAATTAGGACACAGAATGAAATCACCATAACATTAGTTTATTTGTTTTTTTAAGACATCATAGGTGTTATTGTTTCACGTGTGTTGCATATTACAGAAGTAGATTATAAATATCTTTTCATTGTAAAATACATATTTTTGAAAAATAACAGCGGGTGTCTTTTTTATTGTTACATTGTAAACATATTATTACTGAGAAAAAATACATTTGTTTTTTTCAAACTAAAGGCCGGTATTGACACCTCTTACACAGACGTTTGAGTTCATAGAAGTCAATGATGTAACTGTTTATCACGACTTTGCACCAAATTAGCAAGGAAAGCATGGTTAGTCGAACCATCTATCTAATTTCAAAACACATTCAATAATTCATAAACCAAGAAATTTACTTTCTTGTTGTGTAATTTAATGAAATATATATGATTCCTAGTAGGTTCCATTAAAATAAGAACATTAACTAGATGATATTTGTTAGGCTAATAGTAATCATGAAGCTTTGTCTGACCGATTTCAATATGAAGGTTATCAAACAGGTCAAGGCAAGACCAATATCTAGCAGTAGTACAGTATTTCAAGACGATTAACACGTTTCGCTGATTTAACACCAGTGCTATTCAGAGGTAAGTGAATAATACCTTTACGTTAAAATATATTCAGATCCCCATTATTCTTCTCAGTGGTATGTGTAAACCAGATATTTGAAAGAAGTGTCAAATATCAAAAAATCCCTATACCTTTCTTTTGTGTCTTATACCAACCTGATTAAAAATAGTGTTTATGTTTTAAGAACCCTAGAATCTGTAAATTTTTGATTCGCTCGATTTCAAATGTCTTTTCTTCTTTAGGTGAATTATGCTACGACTTCTGTTGTTTATATTGAACGCTAGTCTGATCCCAGTGCTGGCAAAAGAGCAATGCCTTTGTGCTGAATCGGATCTGCTCATACGGACCAGTCCTAGGGCAACAGCCCCGGTTGTTACTCAACTCACAGCAGGCTCTTGTTTGAAACTCTCGCAGTTTAAACGTAGTGGTCAATGGCTACATGTCAGTGGAGATGAGGTATCGGATAGATAAGCGATGCTTATATAGAACACTTTTATTCAATTTTAACTGATGATTGTATAATTTACATACACACGCGATAGAAATTATTTTGAAATGATCATTTATTGTACAAAGGACACACAATTAAACAGCACGTTTTGATACAAGGTATATTTAGATCACATTAATAGATTAGCTGCATCATACAGCTAATGTTAACACTAATTACAGTTGTTGATATTGGGGTTATTGTATTATCTTTTACATTTTCCCAACAAACTTTGATTTTTCTCTGTCGCCTCCTATGTTTCAACATTAATAGCCTTTGGCATCGCTGACGAGAAATTTTAAGGACGATACAGCTGTATGATTTATCTAACCCATTACTTAACGATGGACTTTAGTGACCGATGTTTGTCGTGACACGTATGCCACTTTTAACTCATTGAGGAGGGGCATGGCTCAGAATATGCACAGACCGTTGAAATTATGTTGACATTATTTAGTATTTACCGTTATCGTTTTCTGGGTTAGTCGCCTCCTAGGTTTTAACATTTTAGATTGAAACATTTTATTCACTTGCGAGTCCTTTTTTCAATATTTTATCATAAAATTATCATTATTCGGGGAAACTCCTATCAAACGAACAATTGGTTACAAAATATGTTCAGTTCATAAGGTAAATACTTTGTTAAATGTTTTTATTCCAACTGTGAGATTGCAATCAGTTAAGCATTAATATATATTGTTACTTTTATTATTGGTGTACGAATTGGTTATTGAATTTTCAGTCAGGATACCTCGAATCAGCCGCTTTACAGTCACAGCCATGCCCAGGTATAAAGTAGTACACTGTAGCTAAAATTACAAGACATAAGACACGCAATAGAATTTAATACAACTTTAATACAATTTTTATTTAAAGGTACTAATAACCCTTTAGGGTGTATTCTGAGTAGAACTACTAATTTATCAATTATTTGTTTGAATATTTCACATTGAAAAACCTGACAAAATAATATTGATGTTCTATTGTAAACTGTAATATTTTTTGCGTTTTGTCGAAAGAAAATGAAAACGATTCCACCGTTTTCATAACGTGCCAAAAAACTATAAGAAAATAAGACATGACTCATTTACTTACACGAAGATTTGTTCATAAAAGAAATTACAGGCTTATTTCAAGGTGAGCTTGTTTCCGAATCTTTAAAATATTACATTTAACGATTTTCCTATTTATATTAATGAAATGAAATAATTAATGGAATTCAATTCTATTGAAAAGGTGACACGTTGAAGAGATATCAAAGAGACTGCCCGTCGTATTGTTCTTCTTGTTGTCATGACGATAAGAGACGTTCTTCTCATCATCATAGTAAGTTCAAGATATATTGATGGATCATGTCATTTAAATATATGTCATGAAAGGCATTTTTGTCAATTATATCATATTAACTATGTTTGAACACATAACAGAAATGGATTTTGTTAAATGTTTCTTTAGTTATTACATTTGTTTAGCCAACCGAGACTGTGACAAACATACATGTACTCAATTTGACGTTTATTCTCGTGATGAGGAAATTAAAAAAAATACCCGGTGTATATTGTCAAGTCTTAGCTATCGTTTAACGTAATAATAAGAATTCAATGACATATAAGATCTACAAAGATATCTTTTACATCAATAACCATTTATAAATCCCAGTAATATTGGGAAATACCAACTTTTCGAACATATAATGCTTAACAGCTGTATGATCGTTCCCGGCGAATTGAGATTCCTCAATATTATCTACGAAGGAATGTAAGACTTAAATCAATCTTTATGAAGTAGTCATATCTTAAACTTTCTCTGAACCGACAACACTTTTCCGAATATATATATATTGTCCTATAAGTTCTAAGTATTCTATTGAATGTTAAATAATTAAATAAGTATTTATATAATAATACTAATTTTTATGTTACCATAGTGACTACCCAACAACTGACCCAAGTATATATTGACTAAATTAGATGATCCGATCACCCGAGAACATGCCGAAAGTTAACGAGCCAATCCCAATGTCCTCTGTTGGTAAAGGCAGAAATTTGTTTAATTCATCATGATCTAGAACAAACGACTAGCAAGTTGCTCCAGAAATACATCGACTGCTTTTTAAAGTTGTAAGATACTACCAGAATATTTAAAGGTCAGCTGCTTATGGAATATGGAACAAACAGTCGATACATTTACAGTACCCTAGCTATATATTGTTAAACAAGACACTCGGTAATAACTTGGTTCGAAGCTCAACTGGGCTGCTTTTTAAAATTCAATTCCCTCCTCCCTCCCGAATGTTATGATGTTTTTAATATGAAGCTGATGAATATCAACAATCGTTTTCCAACACACAGGTTTCTTTTTTGTCGTTAAAGTACGACCTATATCTTTTTTTAAATGTCACAAGACCTCTTAGCCAATATCAGGTTCCTTTTAAAATGTAGACACAGCTACAGTTTTAATGACTTATGTTTAAATACGTATAAACTGATTACCAGTCAATTTTGAATACGATAATAATATATTGATTTTTCATCTGATGTCCGGCTTAGACTACTGTTCTTCTTGTGGGAGTCACTGTTGCAATGATGATGGTAAGATCACAACGTTTTGTTTTCATCAATTTTTTTTGTGTTTAATTGATGAATTTGAAAATTTGAATTATAAATTTCATATAAACCATTACTACCTTCACTGCTTTCATATGTCACTTCTAAATTATTAGTAAAATCGAAAATATTGTGTTAATTCCGAAGATACATGATCGATTGGAGCTCTAAAAGGATAGTAAACATCGAAAGTTTAAAATACTATTTATATTACAATATAATTAAGATCAATTTAAAGGGTTACATTAGAACATATCTTTTTACAAAAATGATATAAATTATTATGCGGAGTTATCTTTCTACAAAAAGAACGTAATTTTCGATGTAAGCATTGCACAGGTTGCCCTTTGATTATTGTTATTTGAAAAGGAAAATTATGATCACGCTCCAGAATACTAATTCAATACTAACAATATTGGTCTGTACACGAATTGTTACAGCGATAAGTATCAAAACAACTACACGTTAACTATATACATCTGCCGTTATCTGTGGCGATGAACTTTACCAATTTATTTCGATTGCAAACAACTAGCAAAGACAGGACTATTGGGTGTAGAAGGGCGTCCATGTTTAAATTCTCAACAAAACAGATCCGTCGACTATGTAATGTCTGTTTTCAGTACTGACGAAATCAAACTGAAATTAAACAGTGTATATTGTTTACATATGATTCCACTGTAGTGATTGTTTTCAATTTTGCTGACATGTGAAGGTTATAGTTTTAAATTTAAACTCTTTTAAATGGAATACACCATATTTTACATGCATATTCATAACAAAATGACACTTATGAATTCGTTAATTGATAATCTCTTTTATATTCAATTGGGTTCTAAATATGGTGGGTAGCAACATAATGATATACCACCATAAAAATTGTCATTTCAATACAAATTGGAATCTACTGTTGATTTCTTAGCTTAAATACAAACAATTAAACATTTGTGATGTACTGATCTAAAGGTGATGAGAATGTATCCTGATTTAGGAAGCTCAGTACACATTAAACATTTTCAGTAGAATGTCTATACATTTATTTATGACAGGTCCAGTTTGGTCACGATGGAGTCACTGCAGTGGAACATGTGGGGAAGGAACACGTCACCGGAGTTGTACAGATCGCTGTAGCTCGCTTTCGTCTAATAATCAAACCGAAACGTGTCGTCACGTGTTTTCATGTCCTGGTACGTCCGAACACAACAAAATCTTGTTTATATTCAAATACGAATGTTCATTTTATTGGTCCTAAAACGAGTACTTACCAGCTGCTACATACCGTATACAGAGCCCCGTCTCAAAAAGACCCAAGCTGCTCACGTGGTGACATTTTCCGCCAACAAGAAGATGTAATTAACGTTAAAAATATCATTGTTACGGTTCTTTTCATTCTATTTAGAATATAATGTTCAGTTTCTCCATGAAGACTCGTGCTATTGGACCTACTGTGACATGTGCTAATGACGTCACAACAGAGATAGACGGCATGATCTAAACTATTCATCTATATTTGCTAAATTGATGAATTATGTATTAGAAAGAATTCATACTAATGATGATAATTTCATTGCTTTGTTTACTCAACCGATAACTTCCTTGTTGCAGTCTGGACGGACTATAGTGAGTGTTCAGTCAGCTGTGGCGAGGGAACCCAGACACGGCATTGTGAACATCATTGTTATGGAATATCACATCAGTCCGAGTCAAAAACATGTCACAAACCGACATGTATTGAAGGTAATAATTCGATCTACTTACGGGAGGTTTTTCTAGGTCAATGATTTAAACGAGTCTTTCCTGGTATAGATTTAACTGAGCCTCATTCTCGCCTGCTAAGTCATTTGATTTATGATGCCAGTGTACCATCGTAGTTTGGTAATTTCACATGTTCTACAAAACTATTACAAGCCAATCTGTTAAAGACGATGATTAAATTATCAATTAGTGATCTAGGTTAGAAAGTGAAAAGTTTATATAGGAACAAGCATCGCACCAAGTCATTAACCTTATTGTTCAGAAGACACACAAGTGAATATTACCTGTAAGTACATATTTAGAATCAGATACAGAGGATTAAGAAATATATTTCGAATTAAACATATTCATATATACTCTGTCAATTGTGATATTTAAATTGTATTTCAGCAGACAAATCATATTTAAAAACGTACTTTTGATGTTGTTTGGTCCAAAATGACAATTTTTGAGTCAAACAATATCAAAGGGAAACAAACAAAACACTCCCTACACATCATTGATTCGACATAATTTAAGGTAACTACATACATTACATAGGTAACGATCTACACATCAGTATGTTGGACTGGATACTGGTAGAGAAAATAAAGACGTACTCACTGTCGTTATTTATATAAAATTATAAATGTTTCGTTGAGAACGTCGGTTTACGACTTTCGGTCCTCGATGTATGACGTCATTCTACATTAATTAATTATATCAATCATATCTTCATGAGTTTGGCAACATTTTAGAGAATTCTTCAAACTCGTGCTTTTCATGTAACACTGACCATTGCTATGTTGATACATTACAAACAGGCCAGGACATGACTAGATTTGACGTATATGAACAGAACTTGTCCAGTTATTTATATAACATAATCTGAAACAGTATCATATATATTGGTTTGGGAAAGACAAATCACATTACGCTAGCTTTTTATTTCGCGTGACCAGGACGGAAGTGGATGACGTCATCAATTTTACAATTCATGAACCATCGATGACGGCACGACAATTTCCAATACTGTAAATTCATGTATACGCCAAATCTTGAAGGAGGGTTAAGGAAGGCGAGATAGTTTTCATTATACTATTTTCGAAACAAAATGTCGACCAAAACCAAATGTACATGTCAATGTGTTTAAAATGCAAATCTGACAACATCCCATAATGGGTAGTGGTCTGAAGACCTTTGTGCTCTCTGCACGTCACAACTACATCAGGGTTACATATCTACATCGTATACAGTGATCGCCTACTTTCACTTTACCTGATAGAGGAAAATAATATTAACACTCTGGTAAAATTGTAGCTTCTGCAGTTCCTGTGAATGGACACTGGTCATCTTGGATGAATTTTGGTGTGTGTTCGACCACGTGTGGTTCTGGTATGCAAATTCGCACACGCACCTGTTCGAATCCAGCGCCAGCTAATGGTGGACATCCATGCGAACCAGATGCCAAGGGTGACAACGAGACAAATGTTCAACTTTGTATGTTACAAGAGTGTCTGAGTAAGTGTCTAAATTCTCCTATGAAATGATGATGGTGGCCTTAGAAGTTTTAATACATATACAAGTTTTGGCCTTCCTATTAATAGTATCTGTTGTTTTTAATGCTTCTGCTGTATTGGTAATGGCGATGACAACGACAAATGTCAGAGAAGACAACAATGAAATGTTTACTCCTTCAATCTACAATATGACAGAAGACAGTAATTACTGACGTACAACAATGCCCGTGATTTTTTGTATAGAATGTACATTGATAATTTTAACACCAGAAACAAACAACTTTGAATTAAGAATATTAAAGTCGGTAGATTAACGCATTTATTTGGCATTGCTTATTCTCTAACGTTGGCATGGATTCGACTCATATGACCTGTATTAAATTATCATTCAATTATCAAATCCCTGCCTTTTTATGCTTTCGAGGTTATGTATCAGATTTGCAACCAATATAAGAGAAAAAAATCATCTAAACACACCACTTTAATAGGACAACGACAGCACTGACGTTTTGAGTGTTGCCCTACGTAACCTCAGGTTTAGAACCGCGTGCAAGATACGACGTTCCCTATATGTGGTATTTATGTTTCTCGTATACATGAGAAGAGGGACGACCTGGATTGATGTTGTGTCTTAGGGCAAAATACTTTACCCTAACCTCTTTTAATAACATGTGACGGGCCTGTCGTATTTTGTTCCACAAGGTAGCCACCAGCTCCTACTATAAGGGAGACCACTCCTCATAATGATTCTAAATGTCAATAAATAAACTTTAGATAGATAATGAAACTGAACGCATTGTCTGCACACGATCCAAATACAAAACCTATTGTCATAACCTTATTTGAATATCGAGCACTGTATATACATCCATTATGTATTTGATTTAGATTACATGTCGATTGTGAAAAAGATTTCCATCTTTCCGGACGATTTTTCTTGGTAATTTATCAAATATTTTACATGATATGTCTGTCATTTGTTTTTCTTTTTGTGCATATGGTGTCTTTTAAGGCCGTTTTCAAAGCTATATTAAACATAAACCATGTCATACTTTTGTTTAAAGACGATCTTCAAGGCGATGCTCATCTCTGTGATAAGGTATCAACTGTCCAAGCCTTAGCTGAAATAAGCATTACAAATCCACCCAAGTGCCGTGATGTGTGGGTGTCCGGAAGTGACAGTTTCCTGCAAGAACATTGTAAAGGCATACCAATCCCAAAGCAATGGAAGAAAGGAATATCGGTACGACCACATGTTGAATATGACTTATAATTGGACATACGAGAACCTATGCAAATCAGCAGTGCGATTATATCTTAAAAAAAATACCAACATATAAACATAATGATAATACCCACACAAATCCAAATTAACTAGGGCAAAACATGAACAAAAACAGATTTACACGGATTACCCCTGCAAAAGCAATTTGAAAATAAGACGAGGTATTCCGGAAGAGTGAGCGTCTTCCGCTTCCTCGACGGCACCCGCCATTTAACTCTTAGTCTGCCTAAGTAAGTAATACCACGTTCTCAAATGAGAAAAAGATCAACTGCGACATGTAAACACCATAGGTTGGGGATATAGGTGTGATGCTATCCAGAAATCTTTTTGGTTTAAAATAATTTGTATGATCTCGTCCCATCTTTATTAATAAGTACTGTTTTACCGGAGTTTTTGTTCTGTCTACGAATTCAGTTCCAATTATCTCACACTTTAGAAAGTTTGACTATTTTGAAAGCATTCTACCAGGAAAAGTTGTATTTATTAAATCAGTAAGTGTCAAGAATACAAAAAAAATAGTTATTTCTTTAAGCAGCACATTTTGAATATTTTACCAGCGAATACACAACACAACATAATCTCTACAGAATATTCTGAACATCACCTACTCAGCTGTTATGCATATAACATTACACATGGGATAAGACAACCCCCCCCCTCCCCCCCCCCCCCCGAAAAAAAGCCCCCAAACAACCAAACAAACAAACAAAACAAAAAAATTACCAAATGCCAAGAAAGTCTTAATTTAAACCAAAAGGCAGACAACAGAAAATAGAGATGATACTTCATTACATTACAATTAGGTGTCATTTCAATATAGATATCACTTATGAACGTTACAGGTTGGATTTGACATGAATAGAAATAAGACAATCCAGCCGTACACACCAATCGCAACGTTCTGGAACGACGTTTACCAACAAGATACCTCCCACGAAGGTTTTAGCGGAATATTTATTAGCTATACCGGCTCAGGATTCAAGGTATAGTATTCTATGTTGAAAAAATACATAGAGAAGCTAAGGATGTCGAAATTCCAAAAATCCTAACAGAGAAATCTGACACTGGTTAGCGTGTGAGGTTTCCCTTATTCTTGTATGAGGAGCAACAAATGAAGTCCATATGATCTAATAAAAAAGTTAGCTAATATTCTGTGGCTATAAAACGTTCCTTTTATCATCGTTCATCAGGGAACATCATTTTTATGGTACATTTGTTTTGGCATATAACTCCACACTCAAATTGGCAAAGCATTATCGGTGTGTTTTTACATCGTTTAACGTCCTATCAACAACTTAATGCGGCCTCCCTATATGTGTAAGACGAGTGAATACATTTAGTGCTCATACTTTCAGTTTAGTCCATTTGGCCCCCTTGTGATAGTGTGGAATAGAAGTCGAATTTTAAGTGCCGACTCGTGTAATTTAAAGTGAATCAATCTAGTCATGTACATACTCTTATGCACATATTGACAAATGATTTAAGTTCCTAATAACTTCATATGTTGTTGATCAGATGGCGACCAGAGCTTGTAACGGGGTAGCAGAAGTGATGGATATTCCGAGAAACACATCAATATCAACTAATGCCAGGTTCCCGAATGATCCATTTAATTACTTTACTGTCAGATGGTGATCGGTGTGTGAGCAATTCAATAAAAATGAACGTTATCACATGATTCATTGTTGACTATGTAATTAGTTACGTTGGAGATATTTCAAATGGGAAATGTTACAGAATCATTCTGCATTATTTGTACTTCTGATGCTAAAAACCACCCTCGTTATTCCAGAATATTTCATCCATTTTCGCTCTCATTGAAGTGACTGAAGTGATTTCATTGGTTTAAGGAGAAAAAAGCTGACCAATCACAAAAAAAAACAAAACAAAAACAAAAAAATAACGAATTCTATCTACTTAAACTTTGCACGTCTATTTATCGACAGGATGAATTTGATATAGACACTTTTTCAATTCTACTCAGGATAGTAGGGGAGAAGTCGTGTGCGGATAAGTTAACTGCTCAGTTGTAATTGTATCAGACAAATGGAGTGAGGTATTGCTGTATACATTTTATGATGATGCGAATGACTGTTAACTGTGGATCATGTTAGGAATATTTACCTTTAAGAGGAATATACACATACACTTTTGTACAAATGGTAAAAGAAACAAGCTTTCAACGATGAGATGGCCAAGGTAAGTCACTGCTGTTATCGGCATTGGAGTCGTTCGACCTGGGTTTAGAACAGATATGTGTACATACTTGACGACACCTCACCAAACGTAAGTGGCACTATCACTACATTATCAGGTCATCTTTTATTCATTCCGTGACATATTGTCATAAATTACACGAGCTTGTGTATGTTTGGATTGACATGTTTTTTAACAAGGTTTCAAAGATAACTAATATGTATGTATTTCATGATTTTCCAAACAACTTGTAACTTATTTTAGATCGATATTCACATAGTTTAGTGATCGTTGTTCTAAAATATCTCAAACTGTGACTTAATTATACATTAACTTATAATCATTTTGCAGCAACATCTGACTACAATTAATCGCGAATTTCAGTACATTTGAAGAGAAATATATCAAGATTCCCTTTATTTCTCATTCTTTAAACAATAGAAAACTTAATCATATGTTAAAGATAACCAGATAAGAGGTGGACTGGGATTATTTTAGCATATACGTTTACTCTTGCTTCCTTTTGATATAGTCAAAACTCTTTGTGACAGAAACTCGCTACAGGAAATTGTTTATTTGATTCTGTTCTTTCCTTTAGATATTATAGACTTTTTATTTTCCTTTGTTTGTTTATTCTATCTTATTTATTACATGTTTACCTTGTTATTCAGTGGATAAGTCTATATAATATTTGTAACTTTAGGTTTAGATAACGAGGTTAAATTACACACGCACAGATTACATTGTAACGTACTTGCAGACCTTAGATATATATCTGAATTGACTTTAAAGTCCCTTTTCTACAATGTTTGTCTGAATAATCGAACCTATTACAAAAGGATCTTGTAATCGTTTACAATAGGTAATTTAGATCATATATAGATGTTAGGTGATTTAGGAAACTCACCAAAATGCTCATTTTAGCTTGTCCTAGTTCAAGTACTCTTAAACACGCTTCATTTGTTACATATCAGATGGTACCTCGTGCATGATTCTATAGTTCCTTAAGAAGGTGCCATTTTGTATGTAGTGACTACATGTATGTGAAATTATTCAATGTGTCTGTAAAAGCAACACCTGAATATAATGATACGAACATATTCATTTGTGCAAGATTTTGACTCTTTCAAACAAAAACATAATCATCACTTAATTATTTATGATATAGCTGGAATGTTTCAAGCCCATTATCTGTTGTTGGTGGCGCCCCTTTTCGTCACCGTTGCCGGTGAAGACGAATGTTTATGCGCTGTTTCCGATACCGAGATTCGGATCACTGCCAGCCTCAAAGCTCCAGTCATCGATGTACTCACAGCTGAATCATGTGTTAAACAGTCACAATTAAGGAAGATATATCAATGGGCATATATATTCGATACCGGGATAAAGGTTGGTCAGTAAACGTCAGTTTTGTTCAGTTTGATGTATGATTTTACTTTGTTTTAATTTTCTCTCGTTTCTCATTTCTCTTGCATGCTTTAAAAGAAATCGATCACGATTCCTAGTTATAGGACATGCTTAGGAATTCTTAATGTGCATATCTTGCCCGAGTTTCATAAGATTTGATTATTATGATTATTGAGCGTGGATTATAATTCTATCGACACGTTCTTTGTTTTAGAATAATATTCCAGACAAATGTATATTATAATAGTAAGTACTTTGTTTTTAAAACTCGAGGATTTAATCTGGCAAGTGTTTTTGTATTACAGCATGGATACGTGCGTCTGTCAGAACTAACTATCTGCAATGGTATGCCATATTTCAAATGGAGAAGAAATCTAATTAGTGACAGAATATAAGTTATCAATCTTATGAAAAAAGTATATCGTTAACGATACTAAGACTGCAGCCCAAAACTGATGCGGTAAATTTTCTAGCCCATACATAGGATAATACCAACATATAAACATAACATACGCCAACCCCAAATTTGATAAAATTGAGGCAAAATATGAACAAAAGAAAGTTTTTAATTAAACGGAGACTCATAAAAAGCATAAAGGAAATAAGACCAGGTGTTTCAGAAAAGTGGGCGTCTTTTGGTTCATCTGTGACCCCGCCATGTAAACTTTGGTCAGTCCAACTATGTCATGTAACGTGCACATTGAAAACAAAGTATACAAACGCGGAATTAACAGACAAACCAACAAACACCAGACACGTCCAGCTCCACATCGCACAAAGAAAATTTTCACAATGACTTACTGTGACATCCGTGAAACAGTCCCACAATTTCATCGACCTGCATCTTTTGATTTTAAAACGTAACATTCACGTTATTAACAAAAAGTCATAAATATATAACAAATAGTATTTAAATTCTGAAAGTTTGATAATAACATACAATACCAGTCCATAGAATTATTTGTCAGTGATGAAAAGAAACCGCTCATTAATCAACCAAAGCTATATTTATCTTTCAAATTGCCATGCAAGTAAACAACAAACTTGAATATACCAAGGGAAGTAACTCTATCTCACTGCGCGTTTCTTGGTTGGTACTTGTCAATTATTATCGATATCTCAAAAATCGCTATCCTATATTTAACCGTTAAATAGTTTATTTGCAAGCAATCACTAAGATTAAATGAACAAACTAAAAACTAAAAGATCTTCTTTCAGAATGCCAGGACTGTGAAAGTGGATGCTGCAGTAGGTCCAGAAGGTTTGACAACACAATTGGTAAATCTATCATTACGTCACGTAACCGTCGTTATATATTTGAATTGAGTTTTAATATAGAAATATTATTAAAGTTTCCCATTATTTAGGTAAATTGTGTTGAGGAAGAATTTCGTGCATTATCAATACTCAGGAATGACATATTTGTTTTAATACATGTAATTGTTCAGTGGATGACAAACATAAGCTTAAGGAATATTTCTAATTTTGTAGAGTTGGCTACTCATAAGAAATAGTCGAATACATTAATTTTATTTCAAAGATTCACTGTATCAATTCTCGTTTTGTAGAGTCACTTTAAAGAAATATAATATATATCTAACATTTAACATTTATATGTTCAAGACATTTTTTTCACTTTAGGGTGCAGGTTCATTTGAATAATATTATCACGTATGCTCATTAATATAAAGGATAATGTCATTTACTCTTCAGAACTCTGTAATTTCTCGGTTGCAGCAAATCGACAATGTCAATAGTTATCATAATAATCCCAATCTTACGGTAAAATGATATTTTTGAAGTAACTTTGTAATGTTTAGTATTATAAGCTTACAATTTTATATATCCACACATAGTTTGGGGTGATTGGAGTGACTGCAGCGCCACCTGTGGGATTGGAAAACAGGTGCGACATTGTCATCACTGCAATAACATTCATGGGCATATGGAGACTCGTTCATGCAGCATGCCTCATTGTCCAGGTGAGCGTCATTCTATTATTTAATCAAGATAATCATAATATTTCTGTGGTACTCCAAATGACTTTTCAAGTGTCACTGATGAAACCTATATTGTGTGTAAACGTACATAAGACCGAGAAAACGTGACATAGACACTTGACTTTATTTCACATTACAGTTTTAAATATACACGTGTTAACTGTATCTCTTGGTAGTGATAAAGAAGCCGAGCTAGAAATTGTGAAATTGTCATTTTTAAATTAACCTAAAAGTCAACAATTTTGAAAAATCTAAATATAGAAATTATAACCAAACATATTGATATAGATGTAAATTTGATTCAGCTTGATAAAGTGGTGAATACGTCTGACCATATTCTATATATTGTACCAGTGTGGAGTGAGTGGGGAAGGTGCAGTGTAAGCTGCGGTCATGGTACACAGGGAAGGAATTGTACACAGCACTGTGCAAGTCTACAACACGTGACGGAAATCCGGAAATGTCATCACGGTTCGTGTCCACGTAAGTATAAATATATCTTTACTACAATGTCTGACTGTACCTCATTGTCTTATCTTTCCCCACGCAAATACCTTAAGGTTGTACTTCTTCGATGTTTTGACCGGAAGTAAGACATAATTCTTTATAAAATGAATTCCAATGTAATATCTTGGACGTTGTCTTTTACTATACTTTCTCATCTGTAGTTGTTCTTGTTAGTAGAAAACAGGCGATTTTTAATCATGTTTTGAAGTACTTTCACTCGTGGACTATATATTTTGAGGGTGTAGTTGACGGTGTGATTCGAGTAATAACGTCAACATTCTAACGCTTTCTGGTTGCCAAGAAACGTAAATGTAAGTCTTGAAATCAGAAATAGATGTTAATTAAATTTTGTATGAATTATCACCACAAATGAAAGATTTCAAATTCTTGAATTCCGACTTGGTGACCGCTGTCCCGGATTTTTTGGACCCGTAAAAAAATATTTCAGTTGATTTCCTGATCTTGGACAGTAACTGGCTATTGGGGTGACAATTGCAAAAAAATGAAGCACAGGAACCCCTCTATTTTAATTGCTAAAAGGATCTTTGAAAATCTTTTTATCAAAACTTAAGGTCTTAAAAATGTTTTATACCAGAAGATGGTAAAAACATTTATGTCATTTAAGAACATTCTCGTGTTTAGGTTGCTATGCAAATAAAGATATTTAAATCAAATAAATTTTAACATTTTCACATATTGTTTAAATATCAAAGTATCATACCCTTACTGTGCCATGAAGGACTAAAATGTATTTTTAAAAAATAGTTGTCTCGAAAATAACAAAATATCTGTAAATCTGGGTAAAGTAGAATATGTGGAAATGAAATCCATTTTTACTTATCAGCAGAACACATCATTAACAATTAGGTGTGGATTTTTTTTCATTCGTTTACTTTATTTTCTCTTTCACGGTAAACCATCTTACATCACACTATATGTGTCTATTCTTTGTAGGTGATTATGGTAACGCATCATTAAGATTGTTTTATAAAGATATCAGATATAATAACTTGCTGTTTTAATAGCAACAGAAAAAAAATCATTTTGCCGACTCCAAATTTTAATGAATTATTACTTGCATTTAATCAATATTTGTGTGTCGTTTATTTTCAGTGTCAGGTCCGCTTACTCGTATGGATAAAATGATCTTATAAATTCTTAAGGGCCTCAAAGTGAAATAGCATTTTGACACATGTACATTACCATTGTGTGAAATGATTTGTAAGTGTTGATGTAGAATAAGCGTCTTATTCTTTCGGGGCTGCCAACATGACAGACTGGACAGATTGGGGAGGTTGTAGCGTGACTTGTGGGAGTGGCACTCAATCTCGTCACTGCCGACACAACTGTTTAGATCACCACCAGGCGATAGAAACCCGGCATTGTAACCACGGAGAATGCCCAGGTATATTATTGTTTATTACAGAATGTTGTTGTCTTCACTGACGTCATTCTGTCTCCTCTTTCCTAATAATTTAGCCTTATGCTATAACATTACAGGAAATAACTCTATAAACTTTAAATCTGCGAGGAGCACAGGTGATAACTTGTGCACATTATTTTTCAAAAGTGGTTAAGTGTGAACTTTGAACTTTTGAAGAAACTTTAACCTTGACTACTAGATTAAAGTCGGTTACAACTGGTTTGTATTCAAACGCTGTAATTACTCTCTCTTGTATTCCTTTTTTAATCTATCCACCGTGACCTTATGGGGAATATTTTATCTTCTTTCTGTATTATAAAACTAGCTTTGTCCGTTGTCCGTAAGTGTGTCTGTAAATTTTGTTGCTATAATATTTTATTTGTTTCATTAATTTGTAATTTGCCGTCTTTTTAAGATTTTTTCTCGTCAAATCAGTTTTCTGTTATTGTTTGCCTTTCCAATATCTCTCCAAGCTCTTTTCGCGACCCGACCACCCTATAGTGGTATGGTCACTCTCCACGCTCTTTTCGTTATAGTGGTATGGTCACTCTCCAAGCTCTTTTCATTATAAATATAAACTTTATATATTTTAAAACAATTGCGAAACAAGTTATGTCAACTTATACTAATCACTCTAATCACACGGATGTAAGCGCGCGAGGGGTCTTATTGTGGGAGGAAACCGGAGTACCCGGGGAAAACCCACTTGGTCGGGCAGGTGACCCCTTACCTTTCCACGTCCGTTCCAGAAATCGAACCCCGGTCGGCTATTTGAAAGGCGAGCGCGTTAACACTGCACCACCCGACCACACTATAGTGGTATGGTCACTCTCCAAGCCCTTTTTGTTATAGTGGTATGGTCACTCTCCAAGCCCTTTTCGATATAGTGCTATGGTCACTCTCCAAGCCCTTTTCGTTATAGTGATATAGTCACTCTCCAAGCTCTTTTCGTTATAGTGTAATGGTCACTCCCCAAGCTCTTTTCGTTATAGTGTTATGGTCACTCCCCATGCCCTTTTCGTTTTAGTGCTATGATCACTCTCCAAGCCCTTTTCGTTATAGTGATATAGTCACTCTCCAAGCTCTTTTCGTTATAGTGTAATGGTCACTCCCCAAGCTCTTTTCGTTATAGTGTTATGGTCACTCTCCAAGCCCTTTTCGCTTTAGTGCTATGATCACTCTCCAAGCTCTTTTCGTTATAGTGTAATGGTCACTCCCCAAGCTCTTTTCGTTATAGTGTAATGGTCACTCCCCAAGCTCTTTTCGTTATAGTGTAATGGTCACTCTCCAAGCCCTTTTCGCTTTAGTGATATAGTCACTCTCCAAGCCCTTTTCGTTATAGTGTAATGGTCACTCCCCAAGCTTTTTTCGTTATAGTGATATGGTCACTCTCCAAGCCCTTTTCGTTATAGTTTTATGGTCTCTCTCCAAGCTCTTTTCGTTATAGTGTAATGGTCACTCCCCAAGCCCTTTTCGTTATAGTGCTATGGTCATTCTCCAAGCCCTTTTCGTTATAGTGATATGGTCACTCCCCAAGCCCTTTTCGTTATAGTGATATGGTCACTCCCCAAGCCCTTTTCGTTATAGTGATATAGTCACTCTCCAAGCCCTTTTCGTTATAGTGTAATGGTCACTCCCCAAGCCCTTTTCGTAATAGTGATATGGTCACTCCCCAAGCCCTTTTCGTTATAGTGATATAGTCACTCTCCAAGCCCTTTTCGTTATAATGTAATGGTCACTCTCCGAGCCCTTTTCGTTATAGTTTTATGGTCTCTCTCCAAGCCCTTTTCGTTATAGTGTAATGGTCACTCTCCGAGCCCTTTTCGTTATAGTTTTATGGTCTCTCTCCAAGCCCTTTTCGTTATAGTGGTATGGTCACTCCCCAAGCCCTTTTCGTTATAGTTTTATGGTCTCTCTCCAAGCCCTTTTCGTTATAGTGTAATGGTCACTCTCCGAGCCCTTTTCGTTATAGTTTTATGGTCTCTCTCCAAGCCCTTTTCGTTATAGTTTTATGGTCTCTCTCCAAGCCCTTTTCGTTATAGTTTTATGGTCTCTCTCCAAGCCCTTTTCGTTATAGTGGTATGGTCTCTCTCCAAGCCCTTTTCGTTATAGTGTAATGGTCACTCTCCGAGCCCTTTTCGTTATAGTTTTATGGTCTCTCTCCAAGCCCTTTTCGTTATAGTGGTATGGTCACTCCCCAAGCCCTTTTCGTTATAGTTTTATGGTCTCTCTCCAAGCCCTTTTCGTTATAGTGTAATGGTCACTCTCCGAGCCCTTTTCGTTATAGTGATATGGTCTCTCTCCAAGCCCTTTTCGTTATAGTTTTATGGTCTCTCCCCAAGCCCTTTTCGTTATAGTGATATGGTCACTCCCCAAGCCCTTTTCGTTATAGTTTTATGGTCTCTCTCCAAGCCCTTTTCGTTATAGTTTTATGGCCTCTCTCCAAGCCCTTTTCGTTATAGTGATATAGTCACTCTCCAAGCCCTTTTCGTTATAGTGTAATGGTCACTCTCCAAGCCCTTTTCGTTATAGTGATATGGTCTCTCTCCTCTTTTCGTTATAGTTTTATGGTCTCTCCCCAAGCCTTTTCGTTATAGTGATATTTCTCCAAGCCCTTTTCGTTATAGTTTTATGGTCTCTCTCCAAGCCCTTTTCGTTATAGTTTTATGGTCTCTCTCCAAGCCCTTTTCGTTATAGTGATATAGTCACTCTCCAAGCTCTTTTCGTTATAGTGATATAGTCACTCTCCAAGCTCTTTTCGTTATAGTGATATGGTCACTCCCCAAGCCCTTTTCGTAATAGTGATATAGTCACTCTCCAAGCCCTTTTCGTTATAGTGATATGGTCACTCTCCAAGCCCTTTTCGTTATAGTGATATAGTCACTCTCCAAGCTCTTTTCGTAATAGTGATATAGTCACTCTCCAATCTCTTTTCGTTATAGTGCTATGATCACTCTCCAAGCCCTTTTCGTTATAGTGGTATGGTCACTCTCCAAGCCCTTTTCGTTATAGTGATATGGTCACTCCCCAAGCCCTTTTCGTAATAGTGATATAGTCACTCTCCAAGCTCTTTTCGTTATAGTGCTATGATCACTCTCCAAGCCCTTTTCGTTATAGTGATCTGGTCACTCTCCAAGCCCTTTTCGTAATAGTGATATAGTCACTCTCCAAGCTCTTTTCGTAATAGTGATATAGTCACTCTCCGAGCCCTTTTCGTTAGTTTTATGGTCTCTCTCCAAGCCCTTTTCGTTATAGTGCTATGGTCACTCTCCAAGCCCTTTTCGTTATAGTGCTATGGTCTCTCTCCAAGCCCTTTTCGTTATATTGCTAGGGTCACTCCCCAAGCTCTTTTCGATATAGTGCTATGGTCACTCTCCAAGCTCTTTTCGTTATAGTGTAATGGTCACTCCCCAAGCCCTTTTCGTTATAGTGCTAAGGTCACTCTCCAAGCCCTTTTCGTTATAGTTTTATGGTCTCTCTCCAAGCCCTTTTCGTTATAGATATGTTCACTCCCCAAGCCCTTTTCGTAATAGTCTACTCACTCTCCAAGCTCTTTTCGTTATATATAGTCACTCTGCTATGATCACTCTCCAAGCTCTTTTCGTTATAGTGCTATGATATGGTCACTCCCCAAGCCCTTTTCGTTATAGTCATGGTCTCTCTCCAAGCCCTTTTGTTATCTAGCCCTTTTCGTTATAGTCACTCTCCAAGCTCTTTTCGTTATAGTCCTATGGTCACTCTCCAAGCCCTTTTCGTTATAGTGGTATGGTCTCTAGCCCTTTTCGTTATAGTGCTATGGTCACTCTCCAAGCCCTTTTCGTTATTTTGGTATGGTCACTCTCCAAGCTCTTTTCGTTATAGTGTAATGGTCACTCTCCAAGCTCTTTTCGTTATAGTCCTATGGCTCTCTCCACGCTCTTTTCGTTATAGTATTATGGTCACTCTCCAAGCCCTTTTCGTTATAGTTCTATGGTCACTTTCCAAGGCCTTTTCGTTATAGTTTGATAGTCACTCCCCAAGCCCTTTTCGTTATAGTGCTGTGATCACTCCCCAAGCCCTTTTCGTTATAGTTTTATGGTCTCTCTCCAAGCCCTTTTCGTTATAGTTTTATGGTCACTCTCCAAGCCCTTTTCGTTATAGTGATATAGTCACTCTCCAAGCCCTTTTCGTTATAGTGATATAGTCACTCTCCAAGCTCTTTTCGTTATCCTCCTTTGTCTCTCTCCAAGCCCTTTTCGTTATAGTGGTATGGTCACTCTCCAAGCCCTTTTCGTTATAGTGGTATGGTCTCTCTCCAAGCCCTTTTCGTTATAGTGATATGGTCCAAGCCCTTTTCTCCCCAAGCCCTTTTCGTAATAGTGATATAGTCACTCTCCAATCTCTTTTCGTTATAGTGCTATGATCACTCTCCAAGCCCTTTTCGTTATAGTGGTATGGTCACTCTCCAAGCCCTTTTCGTTATAGTGGTATGGTCTCTCTCCAAGCCCTTTTCGTTATAGTGATATGGTCACTCCCCAAGCCCTTTTCGTTATAGTGCTATGGTCACTCTCCAAGCCCTTTTCGTTATAGTGATCTGGTCACTCTCCAAGCCCTTTTCGTAATAGTGATATAGTCACTCTCCAAGCTCTTTTCGTAATAGTGATATAGTCACTCTCCGAGCCCTTTTCGTTATAGTTTTATGGTCTCTCTCCAAGCCCTTTTCGTTATAGTGCTATGGTCACTCTCCAAGCCCTTTTCGTTATAGTGCTATGGTCTCTCTCCAAGCCCTTTTCGTTATATTGCTAGGGTCACTCCCCAAGCTCTTTTCGATATAGTGCTATGGTCACTCTCCAAGCTCTTTTCGTTATAGTGTAATGGTCACTCCCCAAGCCCTTTTCGTTATAGTGCTAAGGTCACTCTCCAAGCCCTTTTCGTTATAGTTTTATGGTCTCTCTCCAAGCCCTTTTCGTTATAGTGATATGTTCACTCCCCAAGCCCTTTTCGTAATAGTGCTATGATCACTCTCCAAGCTCTTTTCGTTATAATGCTATGATCACTCTCCAAGCCCTTTTCGTTATAGTGATATGGTCACTCCCCAAGCCCTTTTCGTTATAGTGATATAGTCACTCTCCAAGCTCTTTTCGTTATAGTCCTATGGTCACTCTCCAATCTCTTTTCGTTGTAGTGGTATGGTCTCTCCCCAAGCCCTTTTCGTTATAGTGCTATGGTCACTCTCCAAGCCCTTTTCGTTATTTTGGTATGGTCACTCTCCAAGCTCTTTTCGTTATAGTGTAATGGTCACTCTCCAAGCTCTTTTCGTTATAGTCCTATGGCTCTCTCCACGCTCTTTTCGTTATAGTATTATGGTCACTCTCCAAGCCCTTTTCGTTATAGTTCTATGGTCACTTTCCAAGGCCTTTTCGTTATAGTTTGATAGTCACTCCCCAAGCCCTTTTCGTTATAGTGCTGTGATCACTCCCCAAGCCCTTTTCGTTATAGTGGTATGGTCACTCTCCAAGCTCTTTTCGTTATAGTGCTATGGTCACTCTCCAAGCCCTTTTCGTTATAGTTCATTGGTCACTCTCCAAGCCCTTTTCGTTATAATGCTATGGTCACTCTCCAAGCTCTTTTCGTTATAGTGGTATGGTCACTCCCCAAGCCCTTTTCGTTATAGTGATATAGTCACTCCCCAAGCCCTTTTCGTTAGGGTGCTATGGTCACTCTCCAAGCTCTTTTGGTTATAGTGCTATGGTCACTCTCCAAGCCCTTTTCGTAATAGTGCTATGGTTACTCTCCAAGCCCTTTTCGTTTTAGTGCTATGAGCACTCCCAAGCTCTTTTCGCTTTAGTTCTATGGTCACTCCCCAAGGCCTTTTCGTTATAGTGCTATGGTCACTCTCCAAGGTCTTTTCGTTATAGTCATATGGTCACTCCCCAAGCCCTTTTCGTTATATTGCTATGATCAACCTCCAAGCCCTTTTCGTTTTAGTGCTATGAGCACTCCCAAGCTCTTTTCGCTTTAGTTCTATGGTCACTCCCCAAGGCCTTTTCGTTTTAGTGCTATGGTCACTCTCCAAGCCCTTTTTCGTTAGGGTGCTATGGTCACTCTCCAAGCTCTTTTGGTTATAGTGTAATGGTCACTCTCCGAGCCCTTTTCGTTATAGTTTTATGGTCTCTCTCCAAGCCCTTTTCGTTATAGTTTTATGGTCTCTCTCCAAGCCCTTTTCGTTATAGTTTTATGGTCTCTCTCCAAGCCCTTTTCGTTATAGTGGTATGGTCTCTCTCCAAGCCCTTTTCGTTATAGTGTAATGGTCACTCTCCGAGCCCTTTTCGTTATAGTTTTATGGTCTCTCTCCAAGCCCTTTTCGTTATAGTGGTATAGTCACTCCCCAAGCCCTTTTCGTTATAGTTTTATGGTCTCTCTCCAAGCCCTTTTCGTTATAGTGTAATGGTCACTCTCCGAGCCCTTTTCGTTATAGTGATATGGTCTCTCTCCAAGCCCTTTTCGTTATAGTTTTATGGTCTCTCCCCAAGCCCTTTTCGTTATAGTGATATGGTCACTCCCCAAGCCCTTTTCGTTATAGTTTTATGGTCTCTCTCCAAGCCCTTTTCGTTATAGTTTTATGGCCTCTCTCCAAGCCCTTTTCGTTATAGTGATATAGTCACTCTCCAAGCCCTTTTCGTTATAGTGTAATGGTCACTCTCCGAGCCCTTTTCGTTATAGTTTTATGGTCTCTCTCCAAGCCCTTTTCGTTATAGTTTTATGATCTCTCTCCAAGCCCTTTTCGTTATAGTGATATAGTCACTCTCCAAGCTCTTTTCGTTATAGTGATATAGTCACTCTCCAAGCTCTTTTCGTTATAGTGATATGGTCACTCCCCAAGCCCTTTTCGTAATAGTGATATAGTCACTCTCCAAGCCCTTTTCGTTATAGTGATATGGTCACTCTCCAAGCCCTTTTCGTTATAGTGATATAGTCACTCTCCAAGCTCTTTTCGTAATAGTGATATAGTCACTCTCCAATCTCTTTTCGTTATAGTGCTATGATCACTCTCCAAGCCCTTTTCGTTATAGTGGTATGGTCACTCTCCAAGCCCTTTTCGTTATAGTGATATGGTCACTCCCCAAGCCATTTTCGTAATAGTGATATAGTCACTCTCCAAGCTCTTTTCGTTATAGTGCTATGATCACTCTCCAAGCCCTTTTCGTTATAGTGATCTGGTCACTCTCCAAGCCCTTTTCGTAATAGTGATATAGTCACTCTTCAAGCTCTTTTCGTAATAGTGATATAGTCACTCTCCGAGCCCTTTTCGTTATAGTTTTATGGTCTCTCTCCAAGCCCTTTTCGTTATAGTGCTATGGTCACTCTCCAAGCCCTTTTCGTTATAGTGCTATGGTCTCTCTCCAAGCCCTTTTCGTTATATTGCTAGGGTCACTCCCCAAGCTCTTTTCGATATAGTGCTATGGTCACTCTCCAAGCTCTTTTCGTTATAGTTTAATGGTCACTCCCCAAGCCCTTTTCGTTATAGTGCTAAGGTCACTCTCCAAGCCCTTTTCGTTATAGTTTTATGGTCTCTCTCCAAGCCCTTTTCGTTATAGTGATATGTTCACTCCCCAAGCCCTTTTCGTAATAGTGCTATGATCACTCTCCAAGCTCTTTTCGTTATAATGCTATGATCACTCTCCAAGCCCTTTTCGTTATAGTGATATGGTCACTCCCCAAGCCCTTTTCGTTATAGTGATATAGTCACTCTCCAAGCTCTTTTCGTTATAGTCCTATGGTCACTCTCCAATCTCTTTTCGTTGTAGTGGTATGGTCTCTCCCCAAGCCCTTTTCGTTATAGTGCTATGGTCACTCTCCAAGCCCTTTTCGTTATTTTGGTATGGTCACTCTCCAAGCTCTTTTCGTTATAGTGTAATGGTCACTCTCCAAGCTCTTTTCGTTATAGTCCTATGGCTCTCTCCACGCTCTTTTCGTTATAGTATTATGGTCACTCTCCAAGCCCTTTTCGTTATAGTTCTATGGTCACTTTCCAAGGCCTTTTCGTTATAGTTTGATAGTCACTCCCCAAGCCCTTTTCGTTATAGTGCTGTGATCACTCCCCAAGCCCTTTTCGTTATAGTGGTATGGTCACTCTCCAAGCTCTTTTCGTTATAGTGCTATGGTCACTCTCCAAGCCCTTTTCGTTATAGTTCATTGGTCACTCTCCAAGCCCTTTTCGTTATAATGCTATGGTCACTCTCCAAGCTCTTTTCGTTATAGTGGTATGGTCACTCCCCAAGCCCTTTTCGTTATAGTGATATAGTCACTCCCCAAGCCCTTTTCGTTAGGGTGCTATGGTCACTCTCCAAGCTCTTTTGGTTATAGTGCTATGGTCACTCTCCAAGCCCTTTTCGTAATAGTGCTATGGTTACTCTCCAAGCCCTTTTCGTTTTAGTGCTATGAGCACTCCCAAGCTCTTTTCGCTTTAGTTCTATGTCACTCCCCAAGGCCTTTTCGTTATAGTGCTATGGTCACTCTCCAAGGTCTTTTCGTTATAGTCATATGGTCACTCCCCAAGCCCTTTTCGTTATATTGCTATGATCACCCTCCAAGCCCTTTTCGTTTTAGTGCTATGAGCACTCCCAAGCTCTTTTCGCTTTAGTTCTATGGTCACTCCCCAAGGCCTTTTCGTTTTAGTGCTATGGTCACTCTCCAAGCCCTTTTCGTTAGGGTGCTATGGTCACTCTCCAAGCTCTTTTGGTTATAGTGCTATGGTCACTCTCCAAGCCCTTTTCGTAATAGTGCTATGGTTACTCTCCAAGCCCTTTTCGTTTTAGTGCTATGAGCACTCCCAAGCTCTTTTCGCTTTAGTTCTATGGTCACTCCCCAAGGCCTTTTCGTAATAGTGCTATGGTTACTCTCCAAGCCCTTTTCGTTTTTGTGCTATGAGCACTCCCCAAGCCCTTTTCGTTTTAGTGCTATGGTCACTCTCCAAGCCCTTTTCATTAGGGTGCTATGGTCACTCTCCAAGCTCTTTTGGTTATAGTGCTATGGTCACTCTCCAAGCCCTTTTCGTAATAGTGCTATGGTTACTCTCCAAGCCCTTTTCGTTTTAGTGCTATGAGCACTCCCAAGCTCTTTTCGCTTTAGTTCTATGGTCACTCCCCAAGCCCTTTTCGTTATATTGCTATGATCACCCTCCAAGCCCTTTTCGTTATAGTCATATGGTCACTGTCCAAGCTCTTTTTGTTACAGAGCTATGGTCAGAGTGGAGCGATTGCAGCGTATCCTGTGGACCTGGTCATATGAGTCGCCATTGTCAAAATCACTGTAATGGCAGTCACAGCCATGCTGTTAGAACATGCAATTATGGCCCATGTCCAAGTTTGTCACATTTATGTATCGGCTTTATAACGCAACAGTAGTAATTAAATATCATTTCAAACGAGAGGAGAAAGCGACATTAACTTTTTTAAACGTCATTTTATCGATTTTAAACCATATATGAAACAAATTTTAAAAGCTCAGTGGCAGGAGGAATGGAATACATATACCAATAATAAATTGCACTCTGTTAAACCTGTTATCGGTGAATGGTCTCCATGCTATAGAGACAACCACTGAGACGAGGTTGTCCTTGCCCGTCTTCGGATGGGCCATACATATCTTACACATCCGTATATGTGGAAAGGCGCAGATAACCCTCAGTACATAGGATGTGATGAGCCATTCACTGTTAAACATTTTTATTGGACTGCATTGACCTGCCTACTCGAGAATGTTTTTATCGTAATGTTACATATCTAAAGATCCTTTTAGAAACTGTTGACATTTGTAAATTTTTACATTACCTGAAAGATGTTAGTCTATATAATAGATTATGACGTACCGTTTTAATCTTTTGTGTTCACATACCCATTTAAGATTTTTAACATTTGTCTTTTACCTTTTGATTTGTTTAATGTTAATTAATGTTATTTCCTTTTGGATCGGCTGTGTGTTTTACCGATTGATACGAGAGCCGTACAAAGTTAGAGTCAGATACGAGAGTCGTACAAAGTTAGAGTCAGAAACGAGAGTCGTACAAAGTTAGAGTCAGATACGAGAGTTGTACAAATTTAGAGTCAGATACGAGAGCCGTACAAAGTTAGAGTCAGATACGAGAGTCGTACAAAGTTAGTGTCAGATACGAGAGTCGTACAAAGTTAGAGTCAGATACGAGAGCCGTACAAAGTTAGTGTCAGATACGAGAGCCGTACAAAGAGTGTCAGATACGAGAGTCGTACAAAGTTAGAGTCAGATACGAGAGTCGTACAAAGTTAGAGTCAGATACGAGAGTCGTACAAAGTTAGAGTCAGATACGAGAGTCGTACAAAGTTAGAGTCAGATACGAGAGTCGTACAAAGTTAGAGTCAGATACGAGAGTCGTACAAAGTTAGAGTCAGATACGAGAGTCGTACAAAGTTAGAGTCAGATACGAGAGTCGTACAAAGTTAGAGTCAGATACGAGAGTCGTACAAAGTTAGAGTCAGATACGAGAGTCGTACAAAGTTAGAGTCAGATACGAGATTCGTTCAAAGTTAGTGAGATTCTAGTGTACGAGAGTCGTACAAAGTTAGTCAGATACGAGAGTCGTACAAAGTTAGAGTCAGATACGAGAGTCGTACAAAGTTAGAGTCAGATACGAGAGTCGTACAAAGTTAGAGATACGAGAGTCGTACAAAGTTAGTCAGATACGAGAGTCGTACAAAGTTAGAGTCAGATACGAGAGTCGTACAAAGTTAGAGTCAGATACGAGAGTCGTACAAAGTTAGTGTCAGATACGAGAGTCGTACAAAGTTAGAGTCAGATACGAGAGTCGTACAAAGTTAGAGTCAGATACGAGAGTCGTACAAAGTTAGAGTCAGATACGAGAGCCGTACAAAGTTAGAGTCAGATACGAGAGCCGTACAAAGTTAGAGTCAGATACGAGAGTCGTACAAAGTTAGAGTCAGATACGAGAGTCGTACAAAGTTAGAGTCAGATACGAGAGCCGTACAAAGTTAGAGTCAGATACGAGAGTCGTACAAAGTTAGAGTCAGATACGAGAGTCGTACAAAGTTAGAGTCAGAAACGAGAGTCGTACAAAGTTAGAGTCAGATACGAGAGTCGTACAAAGTTAGTGTCAGATACGAGAGTCGTACAAAGTTAGAGTCAGATACGAGAGTCGTACAAAGTTAGAGTCAGATACGAGAGTCGTACAAAGTTAGAGTCAGATACGAGAGTCGTACAAAGTTAGTGTCAGATACGAGAGTCGTACAAAGTTAGAGTCAGATACGAGAGTCGTACAAAGTTAGAGTCAGATACGAGAGTCGTACAAAGTTAGAGTCAGATACGAGAGTCGTACAAAGTTAGAGTCAGATACGAGAGTCGTACAAAGTTAGAGTCAGATACGAGAGTCGTACAAAGTTAGTGTCAGATACGAGAGTCGTACAAAGTTAGAGTCAGATACGAGAGTCGTACAAAGTTAGAGTCAGATACGAGAGTCGTACAAAGTTAGAGTCAGATACGAGAGTCGTACAAAGTTAGAGTCAGATACGAGAGTCGTACAAAGTTAGAGATACGAGAGTCGTACAAAGTTAGAGTCAGATACGAGAGTCGTACAAAGTTAGAGTCAGATACGAGAGCCGTACAAAGTTAGAGTCAGATACGAGAGCCGTACAAAGTTAGAGTCAGATACGAGAGTCGTACAAAGTTAGAGTCAGATACGAGAGTCGTACAAAGTTAGAGTCAGATACGAGAGTCGTACAAAGTTAGAGTCAGATACGAGAGTCGTACAAAGTTAGTGTCAGATACGAGAGTCGTACAAAGTTAGAGTCAGATACGAGAGTCGTACAAATTTAGAGTCAGATACGAGAGTCGTACAAAGTTAGAGTCAGATACGAGAGTCGTACAAAGTTAGAGTCAGAAACGAGAGTCGTACAAAGTTAGAGTCAGATACGAGAGTCGTACAAAGTTAGTGTCAGATACGAGAGTCGTACAAAGTTAGTGTCAGATACGAGAGTCGTACAAAGTTAGAGTCAGATACGAGAGCCGTACAAAGTTAGAGTCAGATACGAGAGTCGTACAAAGTTAGAGTCAGATACGAGAGTCGTACAAAGTTAGAGATACGAGAGTCGTACAAAGTTAGTGTCAGATACGAGAGTCGTACAAAGTTAGTGTCAGATACGAGAGTCGTACAAAGTTAGAGTCAGATACGAGAGTCGTACAAATTTAGAGTCAGATACGAGAGTCGTACAAAGTTAGCGTCAGATACGAGAGTCGTACAAAGTTAGAGTCAGAAACGAGAGTCGTACAAAGTTAGAGTCAGATACGAGAGTCGTACAAAGTTAGTGTCAGATACGAGAGTCGTACAAAGTTAGTGTCAGATACGAGAGTCGTACAAAGTTAGAGTCAGATACGAGAGCCGTACAAAGTTTGAGTCAGATACGAGAGTCGTACAAAGTTAGAGATACGAGAGTCGTACAAAGTTAGAGTCAGATACGAGAGTCGTACAAAGTTAGAGATACGAGAGTCGTACAAAGTTAGAGTCAGATACGAGAGTCGTACAAAGTCAGAGTCAGATACGAGAGTCGTACAAAGTTAGAGTCAGATACGAGAGTCGTACAAAGTTAGAGTCAGATACGAGAGTCGTACAAAGTTAGTGTCAGATACGAGAGTCGTACAAAGTTAGAGATACGAGAGTCGTACAAAGTTAGTGTCAGATACGAGAGTCGTACAAAGTTAGAGTCAGATACGAGAGTCGTACAAAGTTAGTGTCAGATACGAGAGTCGTACAAAGTTAGAGATACGAGAGTCGTACAAAGTTAGTGTCAGATACGAGAGTCGTACAAAGTTAGAGTCAGATACGAGAGTCGTACAAAGTTAGAGTCAGATACGAGAGTCGTACAAATTTAGAGTCATGCATTTAATGGTAAGTATCTGTAAATGCTGAAGAACGTGGAACTTTACATTATACCTCGATTCCCTTAATAGGTTTGATACAGGGAACAGCCCATACGTGTGATAAAATGGCGGTGTTACACGCCCTGGCGGAGATAAATGCGACTTCAGCTGCACATTGCCCAGATAGGTGGACGTCAAAGACCGAGGATTTTCTCATGTCAAATTGCCCAGGAATACCTTCAAATGCTGCCCTATGGTTTAAGGGATTATCGGTAAAGTTTTTATTATTCTTTTTTCCCGAAGGAAGATTCCAGAAGGATCTTTTTTCGTACACTGTAATAAACAATATATTTATCGTGAAATCATCTTAAAACAGCTGGAAAGAAAATGCAGTTGTGAAATCTCCCAAGGCATCGACAAAGCGTACGTACATTGTTCGGGACTTAATCCTGACATCAGCCGAAATATCTGACGTAAAGCAAACATTTGTGATTGTATAGCACAAGTTGTCGGTTGGTCGATCAATATTACAAATTCAAAAATTATACGGAAAATGGTTATCTCTTATAACCATGAAAATCAAGAGAGAATTTTCATGAAAGATAACAGCGAATTATTTGAAAATGTCCTGAACAATTTTCACAATAAAAATTTTTAGGAATGTGAACAGAAAAAAATGGAGTTTTAATAAAAAATTATTACAAATAAAATATGGTCTATAATGAGGTTAAGGAAACCTCGCCTATATCACTTACATCTAAAGAATTTCTTGGCTATGAACATGTAAATTCATATTATAAATTATCAGATATTTAAAAACAAAATATATTCTAGAGCTATGTTTATCACAACTGTATTTATTTCAAGATTGTAGACGTGTCATTTCTGACTCTCAACTATTGTGATCTTAAAAGACGCTTACCCTTCCGAAACTGATGGTTTTATTTTTCTTGTACATTTTCTAGGATCTCCGTGAAGATCGTTTTTGTTATTTTGCGATTATTTTAGAATTTACAAGGCGGGTGTCATCGATGAAGAAAAAAGTCGTTTACACTTCCGGAACACATGGTCTTATTCGTGTAAATCTTTCTTTTGTTTATATTGTACTCGAATTTTATCAATCTTGAGTTTAGATAATGATTATGTTGACATGTTGGTATTTTTTTTATCGAACTTTGTGTTTGAATTCTGTTTACATGTCGATATTTTTTCGCTGTCTTTAACGTTGTTCATTGTAAATAAATGGGTCACAACTGATTGATTTGATATGACTCTTACATGTCCTGGCACATTTAGCATTTAGGCGAAAGTTAAATCAAAAGCTTTAAGTTAGGCAGGGTGAAGAGAGACATTACAAAATAGAGTTGATTATAGATAAGAACAGTTTGAATCCTTAATTAAGTCTCCTCTTTTTAGTAGGTAAATTTATTACACCCTACCTGCATGTCTGTGTGTTCATACCAATCGTTATTTGCAAAGGTTTGCCAAAAGCTAATACTCGAAATAAGAAGAAAAAAACTCACCAATGAATAATTTTCTATTTTGTAACTAGCCTGTAACGTCTTATTTATTAAATAATAAAAACAAATTTTATGAAATCAAAGAGAAAATCCAAATCTCTGATATATGTATATGAAGATGAAATTTCACTAACACATCTATTTCAATTTGTCCTACAGATTGTAAAGCACCATTCACTGCAAACAGAACAAGGACTGAACCAAGCGTTACAAATTACAGACTAGCAATGACTGCATGTGGTAGATATGACGGAAGATATGTTAGACTAAAAATAAACTTATGATGATATTACTTTGTGTAGGTAGCCGTTGAATGTAACACAACCCGACAATTACCGCCCTACACGCCGGTAGGGACATTTTGGAACGACACCTACCAACAAGATAGGCTACACGAGGGTTACAGCGGCATTTTCGTCTCATGTACTCGGGATGGATTTAAGGTAGAGTATCACAAAAAAGATGACGTAACATCCGCTTCGTCTCAAAGAGTCTGTGTCATATTCAACACATCTTGATGGTTTATATAATTTCAAACTTATCGTTTGCTCTTTTTTAAATTTATAATTATGTAGTTATATACATCGGAATAACAAGGTAAACAATATATTCTTTCGAATAAGTCATGACGGAATTAATTCAAATTAGTTTTCGTCCGAACAGTTGTAAGCATGAAAATATGAGTAAAATTATGCAAAAGACACAGAAATTAATAACATATTTTGACAAAAAAAATAGAGTAAAATAGATTAAAGTCGAACAATGAAGATAATATGTTTCGTCCTTCTAAGACTTGTCAGGGCCGAACATTTGAAGTCTAGGAGGCGACTGAGGAAAATCCAAAGTCATTGTAAGAAATATTGACATCTTGGGAAGGTGCACTAGCCCAGTGATGCAATAAATCTCGTATTTTTCATATATCTGATAATTTTAGAAAACATGTCAAGTACCTGCTTATGTATTTATCTTGTTTATAGAATCCTCAACATCTGGGCAACAAAAAATACAATGTACCTTACTCGGGTAATTAGTCCAAGGCTTTTTGTTTGGTATGAGGTTTATCTTCGTAACAATAATTATACACATGTTTACTTGTTTATAACGATTTCATTGGGCCACTCAAGGATATTTCATAGCGATATCGCTTTAGAATGTCATTTCCTTGACGCGACAAAATGAATATTCATCTATCTTATTTTTTCGTATGCAGTTCTGACATATCAGAGCGATACGTCACGCCGTTTGATACAGTTGGATATCATAGGATAGAACTCACAACTTTATCACTTTTAGTAGCTCATCACGTATACGAAGGGCAGATGACACTTTTGTAGTCTCTCTAGGGTTTTCATTTCTTATCCTTAGTTTATTTATTATGAATTTGTTATTTTGTTTTTATGGTCTCTTTTCAATTAATTTTCGAATTATCCTTAATATTTCACTTCATTTTCTGTTGATTGGTTGCCAGGGGCCTGATACCGTCCCTGTTTTTATTTAAATAGATGGTGACACAGGCTTGTTCTGGAGTGCCAACAGTAATAGACATTCCCTACATTACTGGAACACACCTTGCTGACGACTCAAAACATCCTAATCTCCCAAGCCGCTATTTCACTGTAAATTGGTAAATTGTTGAAATCAAGACCACTGACACACTGCAGGGCAATTTAAATACATATCTTATACAGCATTCTCTGAATTGTCATCACACGTTACACTAGCGGCGAATAAAAACTTCACTGTGTACCATAACTGTTATGGAATCTTCATTTTTCTTTTTTTTTTTTTTTATACAATTTTCTATTAAGACATGACCTGCGAAGTTGCAGGTTCAGAGGTATACAACTAGAAAAATATGATATTAACTCCACAATTCATTGAAGCTTAAATAGACACCAGTTTGAATTTTCTGTGCTCAACCATTTTCTCGAAACAACGACAAAATATGTTTTAACGTAAAGGCATTTCAGTGTGACTGCACTATACGGTGCTGTTCAGTGTCTTATTGTATATATATGATTTAGACTTTTAGATATGTTTTTGTGTAATGAATTTCCAATATTATTTAACGACTGATATACATCATAAACTTGCGACCGAGTTTATGAACCCAAAAAATTCCAAATCATGTCATTTATCGGAGAAAATACCTTCTGAATGACCCTAGATCTATTATTTGACTGTAAGATAAGAATATATTAACCCTTATCATTCGTCGCCACAAAGTGAAGATTTCCGTGCTTCAATGCAGACCAAAATAACTATTATAGTGTCATATATATTCTCATTCATTCATATTCACGTATTAATCAGAAATTATTATTGATAACATTAACGAGATGAATTCAGTTTTTGGATTATCATATCCCGAGTTATTGTCGGAATTATTGTCCATTTCCATCTTTGCCTTCCCATTAAACATATCTTGTCTTCAGTTCATTGACTTTGTATCAAACTTTCTTAAAACGACCTGGAAAAACACAAGGAGAAATAGATCAGGTGTTCCGGAAGAGCAAGCGTCTTCTGCTTCATCGACGACACCTGCGATGTAAATCTTGGTCAATCCGATTCGGTAAAATGTCGTATTCACATTAACATTACAAAAAACAGAAAAGTATACACCTTCCTCCGAAAATCAAATATTTTTCTAAAATAGGATGAGACTACTGAAATTGCTTTTGGTTTATAATTTGCCTCTTCTAAAACTGCACGTGAGAATTGTGATGATTGTCATGAAATAAGATCGAGAAACGATCAGTATGAAGTTGCTGGAATCGTAACAGGTTTGTCAATTTGTTCAAGTATATATCAATTCAATGAAAAATAAAAAGAACGACAGACGTTCAGAATACTATCAAACATTTTCCAGATTGTCCTGTGTCTCTTCTTTCATGAATGTGCTAGATGTATCTATTTATAATCTCACAAATAGTAAATATAAAAAATAATAAATTTCCTGTGGTCACCTTAATTTTGCAGTGCGTTACCCAATACCTATACTGGATGGACTATCCTTTATGTAGAAACAAGGAGACGGTACACCTTGCAACAGTTTAAAAGTTCTAACAAACCGGATAACATATCCATCGAGCAAGAAAATGTTTCATAATATCGGATAGGTGAATAAAAAGTTATTTTTAATTTAAACAATTAATTAGTGGTATACCGGCATGTGCGTAACAGGGCCGAAACTGTACCGGTTAGATCTCACGTGTAACAAACGTAATAATTAGGATATACCAGTATATATTACTTTTTGTTCATAAAAAGACAGAAAGTGAGTGAAAGAGAATGATAAAGAGATAATAGAAATAATAAAAATAAGATTCCCTTTCTGACTGTATGAGATTTAAGGCAATCCATCGCCTAACATATATAGTGTATAGTGTGCGTACACTTAGGCTGGTCACGTGACGCACTTCGTAAACAGATCACTATTAAGTCTGTATCTGGTATATATACATGAGGACGACCTATAGATAAATGGCTGAATTAGGAAATGTACTTAGTTATACTCTTATATATCTAAAATACCAATAAACCCTATCACACACTGATCTGTAAGTCATTTCTAAATCTAGATTCCATCAACCATGATAGAATCGCACATCGTACGCAAAAATGTTCGATGGCTTATTTCGTCCAGTTTTTCTATCGTGTGCACATCGAACAGATATCATGATCCACAATCACGCAGCTTTAACGTCGTTATATTGTGTAAGTACTGGATGATGCACAGTGTCATCCTCTTTCGTCAAAAGAGAAACAAACCGGCTTTTGTAGAAGTTTGAATGTTTTAATTTTTTAAATCCAGACCTTATATGAAAACACATCACAGCTGGTCATGTCATGATATATATAAACGTGAGCAGAATGTCCTTGCCCTTCGTGTCACGGCTTCATGATGTTAATATTGTAGTAGATAAGGACAACATAGACCGACGGCTGCGAGTCGGGACTCCACATCGTAAGGTAATTGACAATTGTAAAATGTTTTTAGGTAGAACTTTTGAGTAGTATATCTTTGTATAACTAAATGTTTTCCTTGTTAGATTATAGTCCTTCATCACAATCGATATTTTATAAAATGATAAATTTTGACTATGTTGTTAAGTTGTATACTAAAGCATTACGTGTTATAGTATAATCAAAGCCCTGAAAGGCTGAGGGTTGAAAAACTCTCTTTCGAAACTGAAGATTGTATTTTTAGAAAAAAAAATAGCCGCATGCATGCTTGTCCTTCTGTTCGTAATGCATCCAAGATAGGCCATGGGTTTTTATCCCTCCTCCTATTCTTCCTCCTCCTCACTAATGTATCTTTAATTTCTCAGCGATTAAATTACCGCGTGCATGACGTGAGTAGGTAACAGAGGTAAAATCTATATAACCCATTATGTATGTAAAAGATGGCGGAGTGTGAGGTTGACAAACATGTCCGCTTCCGGTACGAAAACGAATAATATGTCGGAGATACCCTACTAGCTAGAGATATTTCCGGTTGTCCCAAAGGTAAACTAGCAACAAGGAAAACCACAACAAGTAGCCAGAATCATGTCAAATACGGGAGAGACTGCTACATAATTCATTCTTTTATACTCGGAGATTCGACCGAAAACGAAAGTATGTAGTAAGGATAAAACGACACCGAAATGGACTGCGGGGATTCTAACGGACAGTCTGATTGGTGGTACTCCGCTACATAACGCCCAACACAATCGAACTGAACCAAAAGCGACAAAAAAATATTGAAAATAAACTTTCTGAAAAGACAACAAAAGAGTCCTTCATTCTATATGTGAACGATGAAAAAATGTTGAGGCCTGTTTGAAAGTGAACCACAAAAATGACTGTCAGATGCTGACAATATTGGATGATTTGCGTATAGAAATCAAAGAACTTCGAGATAACCTTACAGAATTACAAACCATTTTCTCGGCAGTTGTCACCAGAATGAATAATGTGAAGTTGTACTCTGATGTAGTTACAGGGGGCGTACACAACATTCCTAACGGTACCGTGCTCAGCTGTTATACAGGTCAATGTTCGGCGACCAATGAACCGCGACGATTGAGACAGTGCGCGGAATGTATGGACGCCCATACTGACCACAATCCGAGCAACCAACGTCAATTATCTACACAGAAAAGGCGTTAAAGTTACTGACATACGGGTATTCGCACAACGCTTCGGGTCATATACGGCCAAGGTAAATGTTGAAACTAGAAACGCCGTCATCCTGGACAGTCCGGGATTCTGGCCAGTTAGCGTTGTATGCATGTCTTGGCTTAGCAATAGGGAATAGTGGATAGATCGGTGCGACAAGAAGGAATTACATCAACTTTGTACTTAATATATATAAATAACCTACTTTACCGACTAGAAACATCGGACGCTAGCACGAAGATAGTTTCAATTCAGTGTGCTAACCCATCTCTTGCTGACGATATCGCACTTATAAGTACCAGTCCAAACACCCTTCAGTGTTTATTGAACATAGCCGGAGAATAGTCACAAGATGGAACTTTACATTCAAAATGCTCCAATATTTCATTTAAAACTGTGTAACTAACGTCCTGTGGACATTGAAGGGAGACGTCGTCAAAACTGTGGATTCCGAGGTGCATCTAGGAATTGATGTATCAGTTAACCGGAAGTGTTCTCATGCTGTGGAGGAAGCCTGCAGAAAAAGGAGAAACATGTTGCACGCTATTACTCGTATGGGATCGGACTGTGCCCACACTTAACCACTAACATCCGTAGGAAAGTAATACTACCAGCTGTGTTAAATAGATCGGAGATGTGGAATAACCTAACAGCGAAAGACAAAGAACAATTTGACGTATTCCAGCATTACGCTGTCAAACTGATTCTTAATGTCAGAAAATCTTCGAGGTGAGATATGTGTGAGACTATTCTAGGTATTAATAGAATTAATAGTGAAATTAGAATGAGGAAATTAAACTTTCTACGCTGTCTAATAAGTAGCAGGCGAAATACTATCACAAAGGACATCTTCATTCCAAGACTTTTTAAGAACATGACGAAAGGTCTAAGAAACAGGGTGGATTCGTGCCAGATATAATTGACATTCCTCAAAAGTACAAGTTAACATCATATATAAACCAATATGCAGAGGATGGAAATTTTCCAGGATGACGCGAGTGGAAATATATTGTAAAAGAAGAGATAGATATTCACGAAACACACACTACTGAAAGCCAGAATGATCTGCGATTGTGATTTAAATCGTTTTAATCATGTACATTCGACATATAGCAAACCGTATGTTTTATTAAAGTTAGAAAGCACAGACAAGAAAATAATCTTATATACTTGTAAAATGATAACTTGCCCACCAACAGAACAACGTAAAATATGTATCAAGTGCGGGAAACACCTTCTATGACGTCATTAGGCATTTCGTCAGGGACTGCAAAGTGACATTCATTTGAAGAGACACATTCATGGACAAAGTGTTAAACTACTATGGTATAGTGAACGAAATATGCATTAACTACAACTTGTACGTATATTGTATACTCTCATGTTTGAGGAATAAAGGATAATGATGATGATGATGATGATGATGATGATGATGATGATGATGATGATGATGATGATGATGATG